CTGGCCAACCTGGCAGTCATGGACATCAGTGATTCCACAGTTACAGCACTCAAGATGCTTAGAGGCTTCCTGTCACAATCAGACACTATATCTTATCACTGGTGCATGGCTCAGATGTTCTTCTTCCATTTGACTGGTGGTTCTGTGGATTTACTCCTTGTGGTGATGGCAGTTGATCGGTACATAGCTATCTACAAACCTTTGCAGTACGTGCTGATCATGAACCGAGGGGTTTGTACAGGTGTGGTGGCAGGGGCATGGGCTGGAGGCTTTGTTCACTCTATCATCCAGACTGGACTTATCATTCAGCTACCTTTCTGTGGTCCCAATATACTGAATAATTTCTATTGTGACATACCCCAGGTGATCAAACTGGCTTGTACAACCACCTACATGACTTTAAATTTTGGACCAGGAATCATCATCTATGACCGACCTTTCAAGGTTTTCCCAGGAGACAAGATCTTTTCCATGATGTACACTCTTGTCACTCCAATGCTGAACCCTATGATCTTCACGCTGAGAAATGCAGAAATGAAAAATGGTATTGGAAAGCTAAAAGCAAAAATGTTATTTGTAAAAAGCAGAATCTCCCCCTGAGATCCACCTTTTCCCAAATTCAACAAAATGCAGCAGTCATTGAACACGTGACTTGTGAGTGAGATTAACTGGGCAATCTTCTAGGCAGCTGCATGTTAAAATGGCAGGATGAAATGTTATTTGTAAAAAGCAGAATCTCCCCCTGAGATCCACCTTTTCCCAAATTCAACAAAATGCAGCAGTCATTGAACACGTGACTTGTGAGTGAGATTAACTGGGCAATCTTCTAGGCAGCTGCATGTTAAAATGGCAGGATGCAACAACCTCATGTGTTCATTCCTTTGTACAAATAAATGTACTTCCACACTTGATTGGGAATGCTGAGTGACTGAAATTTATGGTTCCATGTTGCACGGAAGTCCCTAGATCCTTACAAATCTAACTTGTGTTTATGTATGTTTTTTTCCAAACTTGCATTGCACTTTAGTTTCATAGACACACCACAGATGGAGATGGAATGGTGTGGGTGATCACCGAACAAAGGAAGGCTAATTGCCTTAGAACAAAGAAGTAGACAGCACGGAGCTTACAGACAATGCCCTGAGGGCTCTTTTCATTGACTTAGCATGATTACATAGTATGCTGTTAGAATTCAGATAGGACACTAGTTACCTAATCGTAACCAGGATTGGCTGAAATAACCCTTTGATCTTAGGCTCTACCTCTAAGTGAAAGGGCATAATAAGGGGTTACCCCACCTGCTGGCAACTGACACTTCCTGCCAGGAGTGTATGCACATCACTGGAACAGAATGCAGCTACAACCTTTAAGCAGAAGTTTCTCACAGAATTGTATTATTAGGTCAAGGGCACAGGCTACTATGGGCTATTTTGCATTGACTTGTTCCATAGAGAATTCTGTCATGAAAGAGTCTTTCTTAAACATATCTAGTCAAAATTCAGGCAGTATTGAATTCTCTAGCATAGAAATTTGGATAGAAACAACCTTTTTTGATTCTCTTTTAAATATTCCTGACTCGGGGCAGAGCAGAGGTGATAAATAAAGCTAAAGGCAGACCCAGGGAGCTCGCGAACAGGAGAGAGAACAGGGGGTTTGCTGTGAGAGAGACAGGGAGGAGACCAAGGAGACAAAGACAGAGAGATAAGTGGATATTCTCTAAAATAACACCAAGAAAGGGCCTGAAGTAACCCCTAGGAATTGCCCAGATAGAAGCACCATGTACTCTACTTAAAGAGCTGTGTGCTAAGAACAGGAAGGTGTGAGTTCTTAACAAGAGCCATGTGATTGGCCTAACAGAAAGGGGAGTGGCCTCATTACTGCTGAGGGCTATAAGTAGCAGCTGTGAGTTCTGGGAGGGCCTTTTGATTCCTGACTCGCAGCAGAACAGAGCAGACAAATAAAGCTAAAGGCAGACCCAGGGAGCTCACAACCAGATCTTGTGAACAGGAGAGCAAACAGGGAATTTACCACTGGGGGCCAAAGTGGAGCCCCCTAACAATTTTTTTTTGCTTCCTTGGGTATATGTATAACTACATTTAAACTAACAAAACAAAGAGGGACACATATCCTAAACAAACAATTGAAAGTTATAAAAAAAACTAGAAGGGATTTTTTGATGGTGGAGACAATTCAGTTTTGGTTACCTGCAATGTTTGTGCTATGATTGTCTTTGTTCTTGAGTGTAAAAGGATCTCTAACAAGTTTAAAATACATGTAACAAGTGTTAACTGGGTGCACTGTTAGAAGAGATAGTCTGAGACCTGGAGCAGTGAGTTGCCACACTCAAGACTATAAGGGAAGATGAAACCTACATTAATAGAACTCTTGAGCAGCAAAAGCTATCAGAGGGGCCACTGCTGATGGAAGAAAACCATTGCAGTGGAAGAATATGCAGTAGAATATGCTGTACTTTAAATCTGAAGAAGTTTCTAACTTGAATGGTCTACAGGAAAGGTGAAAGAAAGATGTTATTTTGGGAGGCCGTTTCCCATACTGTATGATCTCCATTCATCAATGTAGCTAGCCCTAAGGGTGCTTGTTGTTGTTGTTTAGTCGTGTCCGACTCTTCGTGACCCCATGGACCAGAGCACACCAGGCCCTCCTGTCTTCCACTGCCTCCGGGACTTGGATCAAATTCATGTTCACAGCTCAGATGACACTGTCCAACCATCTCATCCTCTGTCGTCCTCCCCCTGCCTTCACACTTTCCTAACATCAGCGTCTTTTCCAGGGAGTCTTTTCTTCTCATGAGATGGCCAAAGTATTGGAGCCTCAGCTTCAGGATCTGTCCTTCCAGTGAGCACTCAGGGTTGATTTCCTGTAGAATGAATAGGTTTGTTCTCCTTGCAGTCCAGGGGACTCTCAAGAGTCTCCTCCAGCACCACAATTCAAAAGCATCAATTCTTCGGCGGTCTGCTTTCTTTATGGTCCAGCTCTCACTT